ACCGTAAGTAAAGTGTGTGAATCGCTGTGAACTACAGCGTGTTTATAAAAGGAGTTAAGTTTAAAGTGACCGTGGAAATTAAGTGTATTGCAAAGTTTGTAAGGAGAAAGAATAAACTAGTTTTAATCAAGAAGGGACTTGTATCGCTGAAGTCACTCGGAAAGAATTTTTTACCGGAAATTATCAAACAAGCAGATACCCAACAATACGAACCACATTTGAAAATCATCAAGTTCGAATGTTTCAACATATATTTGAAGCAAGTGGAGCAATTAATTATAGGTCATAGTTAGGTTTACCGACACCTTGAAGACGAAATATAATGAACGAAAAATAATATTGTGTAAGAAGTTTAAAAACAAAAACTGACACTCATTATTAGTAAACATGCATTGCAATTTTTGGATTCACTCTACTATTATTTTGCGGGGCGCGGATTAATGTGGTATAACTTTAGATTTTGGAGCTGGGTTCAAATCCACGCACTATCATAAAATATTTCTTTAAACTGTTGGTGCGTTATAAGAAGGATAAATTCTCCTGTTCGATCTGACAAGAAGTTTGTAGTAAATTGTGCTTACTTCTATGTCGTAGACCAGGCATGGCCAGGTGGTTAGGACGCTCGACTGGCAAACTGCGGGTTCGCATCCCGTCCCACCAAACATGCTCGACCGTTCAGCCGTGGGGGCGTTATAATGTGACGGTCAATCCAACTATTCGTTGGTAAAAAAGTAGCCCAAGAGTTGGCGGTGGGTAGTGATGACTAGCTGCCTTCCCTTTAGTCTTACGCTGCTAAATTAGGGACGGCTAGCGCAGATAGCCCTCGTGTAGCATTGTGCAAACAGCCGAAACAAATTCTATGTTTATCTGTCTGCTAACTCCTCGCACTCTATTTGACCAATCACCATCACCAAACTTAGCATGGGTACATCTACGGTCCCCAGAAGTAACATTAATGGGCAAGTTTCCCACAAAAACTAGTTTTTGGCTTTTAATTCAGTTTTTGTCTTCATGTCACACTTCTTTTGGTAATACTCAACACTATACATCGTCGCCTAGCAACAAAACTAACGATTTTGTTGTTAGGCCAAAAATGTTATTTATGTTGTATGCGTAATATACATGTTAATTCGTGGTTTATTTTTATTTTCTGTGTTTTTAATGACTTCCGTGATATAAAAGCAAACGGTTTAATTTAGAACCTAGAACGTTTATGTACGTTTCCCAGTTGGCAGTTTTAAAGTTGTATGTTGTGTATTAGTTAG